CGTAAGTGTACATCAGCTGGGACACTTACCTTTAACTGAAGATGACTTTTATAGGCGTACCAGTAGGAAATGAATGAAAAGCTAACAAAATGTACAACAGATATCAAGGCAGACATTCATTTAAGAAATTAATCCATCATGTATATGTCTATTTAGAGTTGCACTCAAAACGATCCATTCTGAATGCCAAATGACAATTGTTAAGACCCATGATTTTTCAGAGCACTTTAATAACCAAGGGTTAACACAGGATCCTGCCTTAGCTTCATTTTTAGAGCAATTTTGGCATCATTTTCCACAAATGATATATAACTGACCTGACCTAAGTGAGGTGCTCACTCTGTAACAGGTCATCTCAAAAAGTGAAAATTTTTCAAGCATATTATACTTATTCTATTTTTCTCTACATTTTTGCCAAGTTTCTTAGCTCTACTAGTGCCTCTGAATTTCCAAACCTCTTGGTTTCTTTGTCAACAATAGAAACTTCTCAACATACAAGCTTATCTGTTTACACGTCAATCGTTTATTAGAGTGCATTAACACAATGCACATGATGTTATAGCTGGAAGTCTCACAGATTTTTTTCCTGATATTGCAGGAAGCACTTAGTGACCGCTAAAAGACAGGCTTTTTAGACACATAATCCCTCTATGTTGTATCTGGTGCTTTTTTCCCTCCACACCAGGGACTATTTTTGTTGTTCACTGCTTTTTTCCAAAGGCTTGAATAGCCTGAAAATTGCCTTTCTGTACAATGTCCTCTCCTCATACGCTACACCACAGCTGCTACGTTCAGTCGGAAGCTGTTGTTGTCTATTCCTATCTCTGAATTGCAAAGCTGAACAGCAGTAGGGCACGCACTGAAAGAATAGAACTAAATAGCGAATTATTTTTACAGTCATGGAAGAGCCTGAGATTGCAAAATTCACAATTTGCCGATATAAACTGAGGGCGAATACAATATTTGAAAGGGCGAATACAATCTATGAAAGGAATTCCATTTTTATTATCTGTTTCTATATATCTGCATGCAGATAGGATTTTTTTAAAAATACATACAAAATGCTATCAACTGTTTATTATACATGGCGTATCCAATCTTATAAACAAGATTTTCAAAAGCATATTGTATATTCAGTGATTGGAGGCAGGACCTAGATAACACAATGCTTCCTCAAAATCATACCACTTAAATTTAGTCAAATCTGTCTCAAAATATTAAGCCCTTATTGAAACCCTCAAAAACAATCACTGAAATTCTAGAAAACCTGACATTAGTGGACTTACTTTTAGGGAACTGGCAAACATAATGCAGTAGTTTAATAGGAAGCCATGAAGTGAGTATAGCTATTGGTTCCTTTCTCACACACTAGCTGATGCAGAGAAGGACTAAGCAATACTCTCAAATCAAATTTCTCTCAAGGCAAGTTTAATTGGACAGAATGTTGGAACTTATGATTTCCTGGGCACACTAGGATCATATTGGTTCTTTAATCACAAGTACTACTATGTGTTTCCTCCTAAAACATGTGCAAAATAAAGAGTGACCACAATCTTTTCTTACAGCTCTCGGAACATCTTGCAAGATGACAATATAAAAATAGAAATATTTCAGGCAATTTGATGAAATTAGAAACTAAATAAAAAGTGGAGTTTTCCAGTATTTATCGAGGTGAATTGTTTGGATAGAGTAGCAAGAATGACAGATACATCACCCAAACGCAAGTACTGTCAGTACTTGCACAGCAAACCTTCTCCTGCCTTTTTTTTTTTTTTTTTAAGCTACGTATCATTGCTGTTCTTAAATATATGTGTGCAAACCCCTTGTATCTTGGGCCAGGGCGGGGATGGACAGGCATTTGGGTCTGGGTGGTTGGGGAAGAAACAGGCCTTTATCACTTCTCATGCAGTTTTGAAAACCTAGCAGATCAAATCTTTATTGCATTTTTCCTACACCTCATTTCCTTGTCGCTGCATACGATATGAAGTCTCTTTCCCTTAGTCATGTCTTTGTTATTACACTCCTTCTGCAAGATTTAATCCTTTTATTCCCACATCAATTTCAAAACATTTGTAGAAAGTACTAGAAGGTTCTGTAGTTCCATTTAGAGCATCTAGACATTAATTCACCATTTCCCTAGAGAAGAAAGTGGCCTTTTTCTTCCCTTCAGTGAAATGTCTTTTTCCCCTTCGTTTTTGATTTCATGACTTAAAAAAGACGAGTAATACAAATCAGACTGATCTTTTTGAACAATTCCAGTTGAACGATAGTTAAATCCTATGTAATTTTGACATATGGAGAACGAAGGAGAAGCAGGTGAGCTAGAGCAGAAAACACATCGCCAAAGACTAAAAACTCAGTCAAAATCACAACCGGTTGTGGCAGGATAATGGAGACACATACGAAAAGTACTGCTCAAACACTTATGATCTTATAAATGTCAGCTGCTTAGTTTACATATGCAGTTTTTTCCTGTGTGTTTATCTGTTCTCCCAGGATTTGCCAAGATATTGAAGAGAAAACATGATCTTTTCCATTCTTCATATAGACTGTAGAACCCCAACCAGACTCTACCTTCATTTAGCGCCAGACATTTGCACTATGAAAAAGACCTTGACAGAAAGAAGCTACGAAGTGAATCACTGCAGCCAGCCCTGCAGCCCCCAAGAAGAAATGTTATTCTGGTCTGTTCTCAAGGGTTTCCTTGGGCTGAGCTCAAGAGGAACTAACGGGAGACAGCTTGCAACAGCTATATGTGATAATAGCTACTACTGTGGCAGGACAGCAAAACACACATAAATGCAGCATGCAAACATTCTATCTCATGACAGAGTAATATGTAAAAATATGGCAAACAGTAACAAGTTTTGAACAGTCAAATGACAAAAACACCACACAAACTGCCTAGAAGTTTTTAAAAAATGCTGTATTAGAACCCCCTCAAAACCTTGATTGACTCTATAAAGCTAAGAAGGCTACACAGGGAACAACTAACTCAGAACGTATAAAAACTTGCTCAAGGGAGGAGAATGGGAAAGAACATTAAACAAAATAAACATAAACAGTGAAGTAAGAGGGACTTTGACAGTGTAAGAAGTTGTGGAGGTATCTGATATCAAAAAAGGATTTAGAGAAATTAATGGATGGCAGGTTTATAAATATACACTCCGGGGAATATGCAGGGATACATCTTCTAACATGCCAAACCCAGTGGTTGCAGATGCTGTGGGAAGTGAGGCAGGCTCACCCCAACGTGCTCTGCCCTAGTAGCATTTACTACCAGCATTGTCACAGAGAAGACACTGGGATTGACGGACCATTGAGCATTTCTAACGTTGTTGTAATTCCAATGATGGGAGGAGTCACACTACTGTGCCACACCCAGGGGTTTTACTTCTAAGAGGAAGTGGGAAACAGATTTTGAATGTGTGTGAACTTGTACATCTGTGGGTATCCAAGTCAACATTTCTATATTTTGAATTGAAGTCATGTTGAGCATTCTTAACCGCCCATTCATTTTAGGTAGTTGTGGAAAGTCACTCTGCAGACTGACACACAATTGGAAACATAACATTGTAGGTATGCAAAATAGATGTTTCTCTGAAAGGCCCCATGATAGGCCTAAAACCCTTGCAACAACAGTACATCCAGTTTACCCAGTCAGCTCTTGCAATTTCAGACAGGACGGCATCAGCAAATAAAATGTAAAATCAATCACTCCATCCTTAAATTAAGAAACAAATACTTTTGGTGCCAATAACAAAGATTGTTTTCACAGCAGATTTTCTAAAATGTGCTATAAATACACTAAATATTATAGAAGTCTACTTCTACAGAAGTCTTCTACCGAAGAAAATCATTAGCAGTCAGATGTTTTGCACGTTGACTAATGAAGTATTTATTTGTGTATTTATTTGGCAGTAAGAGACAGGGTTTTTTAAAATAGGATCAGACTGATATGACTTATTAAAATTAACAGGCTCAATTGCAAAGCATCTAATAATCACAGGTGGGAAAAGAAAGCAAGGCAGTTGCCACTGTAGAAGATGATGAGATGACTGAGAATGTGGCTTAAATAACGTGAGCAACTGAAACAGACAATATTTCCTATATGAGTTAAAAAGCAAGGTGCGCTTTGTTCAGCTTGACAGTACAGATACACTCTCATAGACCAAAGACGTCAGAGATCACTGTTTTAAGTGGTTTAAGGAGATCAAGTTTTCACACACATCAAACTCAGAATAATTTAGAAGAGCAAAACATAAGAATTGAACAGAACAGATAAAGACAAGACGTCTGGATGATAAAAGAGCAAGAGATCATCTGAATAAAATACTTTCAACTGCAAAGTTCTTTGCAAAGTGAAGCAATGGAAAAGTAAACAATAACCTGATTTAGACGAATTGTTTGGGGAGAGAAAGAGAAGTAGGAAAAAAATATGGTGTTGCTCAAATGTTTTAAGTTTCTATTCCAAGATCAAATTTCAAAATAAATTCAGTTTAATTTTATAAAAGCATACTTTTGGGGGGATTTTGGGATCAATTTGCTATTAATATTCATGACAAATCTTAAGAAAACATTTTAGGAATATATATTTTTTTTTTATTTTATTAAGAATCCCAATTTTGAGATTTTATTTCCCTTCTCTTCCTCTTGCCGTGTATTTTTAAAGCAGGTAATAGTACTGTGGGTAAAGTTTCACTGCATATCAATAATCTATACAACTGAATTACCTTTCTGAAAAAGCATAACTCATAAATACAGAAAAGTTACAGAGGCGTACTATGGAGCTATGCACCGGTAGCAAGGAGTAAACAGATGCATTCAATAAAATACTATTTCTAAATGCACAGAATCATTTTTTGTTTGCTTTTGTGGCTTAGAGTATTTCACTGGAGCTTTAACTTTCTACTACAAGGTGTGTTTTAAACACGAATCCAAACCATAATCTTTTTCAGTGTAAACTCTGAATGGAGATGACAATCAAATGTCCCTCTTACCTCATTTTGGAGGTCACGGATCATTTTGCTCTTCCTTTCCATTTCAGTCTTCAAAAAGTTAATCTACAATTTAAAAAAACATTGAGCGTGAGCTGCTGAAATGTACCTAAATATCAGTTTAACCATTAACTATTTTTTTACTTTACTCACAGCTTTCAATAAAAAAAAAAAAAAGAAAACAAGTTTATATACCGAATTAATACAGGCCACAGTTAGGTAGTTGTTAATACAAACATTTAACATGATATTTATTAGAAAACTTATAATCAAGAGAAGAAAATTGCTGTGCATAAATTGGTTTACTCTACTTTTGTACCAGTAGATATAGTGTTTATTTTTCACAACAAAGTCCCTCATGATCTTCAGAGACAAAAACCAAGCTTATATACCAAATTAATACAAGCCACAGTTAGGTAGTTGTTAATACAACATTTAACATGATATTTATTAGAAAACTTATAATCAAGAGAAGAAAATTGCTGTGCATAAATTGGCTTACTCTACTTTTGCACCAGTAGATATAGTGTTTATTTTTCACAACGAAGTCCCACATGATCTTTAGAGAACTAAGGATTTTTACAATATTAACTGAATTTACAATCTAAAAAGTTTTTAATCCTTTAAGAACACATCCACCATATCAGGTTTCTAACACAACTATTTGATTTGAATGCTACAGTACTTGTCCTAATGAGAGAAATTCCTTGATTCTGATCAGACACACCTGTGGAATAGTGTATTATATGTGAAAGTATGTAAATCTGGTCTTTAGTTCCTATTTAATTCAATGACTTGCCTTGGAAAGTAGATAATCTGAACTTAGTTTTAAGACTCAATTTTGTCAAACACACTTAAAAAAACGTTTTCACAAATCATTCTAAGTTTCTTTCATGATTAACCTTTCCTCCTAGTTTATGGAGAGGAGATTCTCCTTTAAGGGGAGAAAGGACATAATTACAATAGCTAGGATTAAAAGAACACATTCCTGTCACTTTGTAGGAGGATACTCTTGAATATACTTTAATTATACTCTTGAATATACTTTAAAATCCTCATCCCTACATACACCCCTTGCCCCATGATGCATTCTCTCCCCATTGACACCAAAGCCTGTCTATGTTTCATGGAAAACCACAGTTCATTTGACATTGCAGCAGACTTGTTAAAAAAAACAAAACCTCTCTAAGATAACAGATTTGGATTCCAGAGACATTGACCCAGAGATTAATGGTTTGGATGTCATGCATATAAAAAATGACATTGCATCTGCATGATATGACAGCTGTTCTTAGAATCGTGTCCACACTCAAGTAGACAGATGTCAGTAATTTAAAAACCATCACCGGACTTGACATCACTCTCATCTGTATCAAAAGAGAAGTCAGAGAACACTATCATCACTGAAGAGAGAAAAGTAGGGGGGGACGGGGCATGAGACGAGCGCCAACTGACATGCATAAATGTTACTTCTTTTGCAAACTCTACCAAAATTTTGTCTAAGTGGTCTGGTTG